GCTGCATGACAGACAGAGAGTAAATGCTCAGTATGTGACCACATGTGGGAGCAACAATAGCTCACACTGAATGTGAGGCCTATGTGTGTTTTTATTTAAAGCAAGGCAAGTGCTGGCATTCTTACAAGGGGGAGGCGTGGCAAGAGGGGACCAATGACTGGCTGAGGTCCCCAGGAAGGCAGACGGAGCCCCGGAACACTGGAGAACCCAGACCAGGAAGCAGGGAACCAGAAATGGGGCTGCAACACAGAAACCAGGACACTCACAGATAATCCCAAAAACATGGCACCTGTTACACAGCGTGCTGCAAAAAAATATAATTATTTACAAATGAGGTTTCCTGGGCAATAAGTGAAACAATCCATTTTTTGTATCACACATTAATAAGTATCAAACTCTTACTGAAAACGTTGTACTTTTGTGCCTCACCTGTATCATAAAATATTCCCGGCTATATAATGATGCAGCTTGGAACAAGGGCTCCAACGTGAGGTACAAAACCAAATGGCAGGACCGTTGTTTCTTTGGTGAATCTTTAAATCAGTTTGAAACTTGTTTAAAAACGGTTGCAACTCAATGCCATGCGGGTTTTAAAAAATATTGAGAAAGTATTAAAAAAGGTATTAAAAAGTGTTAAATTTATCCTCTGGATTTCTGTATATACCCTGTGTCCATCTCACGTTCGCTTTGAGCCTCTTCTTCTGAGAGAGAGAAGGATCACCATTAATAGCCAGAAGTTTCTGCTCTTAATTGCACAGATGTCTTGATGTTACCATAATTGGTGTCAAAGACCGTCATTTCCAAACAAGGTCTTGTGATTTACAATTAATGTTCTGGAATACAATACATGTGATGCAGGAATGAACAACCACAACATACGTGAAATACTCAGTATAGCACATCTGTAGGAGTAATGAATTAAAGCACACGATTAGGCTGTGTGTGCAGGTTTTCATTCTACCCAAGAAGAACCTACTCTTCATTGATCTGGACCAGGGCTCCATCCTCTTCTGGTTCTCTGCCTTGTGCACTGGCTGAAAAACATAGCAGACAACAGTAAATACTAACGCTAAGTGTCTCTCTAGGCCTGCTTGACTGAGCTAAGACTTTGACCTCTATCTCTGCTCTCTGTGTTTCAGTAGGATGTAAAAGGCACATTAATGGCTGAGAGATCCACACAAGACAGCGAACAAGGAAGTGGGGGAAATCTCAATGAATCAATGGATGGATTGCAAAATGTACAATGAATATAAAATTGGACTTTTTAAGAATATTTAATCAAACTGCTCAGTGACAACAATTCTAGGAAGACTAATGTAAATTTAAAATTTAAAAACTACTGATAAACTGGCATTTAGAGCTCATACTTACACTCTGGGCTCCCTGCGTGCTCAGAAGTACAGGGTTCCTGGTTCTGGCCGGTCATCCTGCTGCAGAGCATGCAGGCGATGGGTAGAGCTGATGGCCGCCGGGGCCGCAGAAAGCCCTCCCTGCCGTAGTGTCGCTGAGCCCCGCTGTGATGTTCGGGGCGCTCCCGCTTCCACAGAGAGTGGGAGGGTACCATGGCCATCACCTGCATGGGGACACGGACATACAGGGATCAGATGGCAGAACGTGACTCACTGCGACACCAGCGACACCACTTATGATAAGTCATTTGGTATCTGCCCCCAAAGACAACAGTGAGCAAACAGCCCTTAGCTTAGCTTAAGTTACAGTAAGACAGAAAAGGTCATTAATGATGAGAAACCCTTCCCTCTGCTCTGAGACATTTCAAGCCTCATGATGGCTTAATGTCATTTTCTTGTATTAAAGATCAGGCAACATACTGTACCTCCTCACAGCAGCGGCGGCTCACAGCAGTCCTGTACTGCATCCGTGCCCGGAGCTGGTCCTTCTTCTTGAGGAAGGCGGGAAACTGACTTTTCCGGTTTTGGCCGAAGGCCCAGGGGAAAATCTCAAACCTGTTTCCCATCTCTTCCTCCTCCATCATGTTAACAAGATACCTGGGGAGAGGAAGAATTCACTATTCCAAGATCCATTGGCTGGCTGACCTCCAACAATTTCATCCAAGACTTATCCTCACGCTGATGGAGGAAATTGTTTTTGTTATTATTTTAACATCCATCTATATTGCACACCATAGCATGCCGTCACTTACAGGGCGATGAAGAAGTTCATCCTTGTCTGCTCACTGGGAGTGAAGTGAGCTCTCTTAAAGTAGA